CAGTGGATATTGGCATTTAACTGGTGCCTGAGCCACCAGTAGTGAAATAAATGATATCCCATCATGTAAAATACAACATAAATTATAGTAATAAGAAACACATCAGAAGTCATAGGTCCACCATTCATTGGTCGGAGGACATGGGACATGCAGAATATAGGACATTTTATTTGTCAGGAAACAGCAATTGTCACATTGGTTAGACTAAGAAGAAAGTCGAGAAAGAGAAGACTAGAGGGAGGCCAAGAAGGAGGTACAGTAAATGCACATTTCTTCCTTATGCAATTTCAATATGTAGATAAGTCTGTATCCATTACATTCATCAATCATCTAAGTACTGTATAAGGCTTCCAATAAGAATAACAAATAGGTCCAATTGATAATAGAAAGCAATGCCAAGCTTAATTTTTATTTTACCATTTTACATATTTTAAGTACAGTATCTAAAAATAATTTGAAAATCACTTTAAAGACAAATAGGCAAATAAACTAATTTAGCTACTAAAAGACTAACCTAGCAGTAGGGTTAGCTGTATATAAACCCTCTGCTTAAAACCCCTCTGCCTGCTTATCTGTTAAAAGACTGTTGCTTAGTAGCTGTAGCACATCCAGTCCTGAATTACAGGGCCATTACTGATTGTGTTTTCCTAGGGGAAAATTAAGTGCTGTGTCTTGGAACAGAAAGGCATGCAACACTACAATGCCCATACTGATCTCTGACAGATGTGGATTTTCTGGGATTTTTGTTTTGTTTTTGTTTTTGCCTCATTGGCTTCTAAAGCTGGTGTTGAAAACCAACCCACTTGCAGGTGCGCATACTTTTTTATACTGTGAGAACAATATCTTTGCTTATTAAAAACCAAAAGTCATTAGGCTTCTTTTAATATCCAATGTACTGCCATGTCTCAAAGTTAGACTTCACATAGCCAAGATATTAATGATGTTGTTTTGTCACTTATCCCACAGAACAGACACACACAAAAAATAATCCTTTAAAATAAACCTTTTAAAAATGTATATGACATGAGTGATTATGAAACCATAAAAATGAACATTACCAATAACCATTTATCCAGATTTGCATTTTCAGAAGGTTATTCCAAATCCACAACCATCAGGTGTGAAGAAGGCTCCACAGCCGAAACGTTGTGTTCTCTTTCTTCTTTTTTTCAGCATGGAATAAACCTATAACTTGTTCCTTAAATGTTAAAATGTCTGTCTCAATCACCATCACTTGGCCAGTATCCAGGTATGTGGATAGAGTACATTTTTCAAGGAAGACATGACTAGCATGGGAAACCCACCAGTAAAAACACGTTCAGGGTCGTTTTAGAAAGTTTTCAGGACTTGGCTGATTGTGAAAATCTGACAATGCTGAGTACTTCTCCAAGAAATAAAACCTGACGTGAGATTTACACTAATGAACTGATTGTTTCATACAAGCTTGTAAAAGTCCATTCCCAGTGGATCACTAATCTCAACAATATACCATCACAGAGCAGAATCTTACATTTGCTGTGCAGGTGCACAGAATGAAATGTTATACTCTCTAAGAAAATGCTTTTGTACACACTGTGAAATTACCATTAAGACTGATCAACAAGCTTATTTAATTTAATGTCTTCTTCATGGGAATTTTGTTTCAGTGTTTCAAACCAAGAGTTGAATTATGTGGACTATGTAATAAATAAGAATTATGTTTGTTAAGCTCGCCAGTAAGAATTTAGCATTTGCTATGACAAAACCTTAAAGGGATATCATGCCTGGGCTGGAGGCCAATTGGAATTAACATGCTAATTCCATTACTTGCACAGAAACCCTTATGAGTTATTGGAGTTATAAATTTGTTTCTGAGTAGTTCACATAGAACTTAGTGTATTAATTGAATCTGGCAGGAAAAGACGCAGCTACTCATAAATCAGAAGCCTTTCATGTTCATGTTGTCAGTATATTTTCTCAAACAGCCTGTATCCAAAATGAACTTCAGGGAATACAAAATTAAACTTGTTAACATCAAACAAAAGAACTGTAATTTATTTCTATTAGAAATGTTTAACATTTTCTTTTTTTATCATCAGTAAGTTTGTATATTCAATAAACGCATGTTCGGTAATAAATCCTTTTTTTTTTCTAAATTCACCCTGATATGATAAACTGTTAAAGCTAATCAATATTTTATGTCTTTTTCAAGGGGGTGCTCTCACAGCATATTGTTTGTAACAATATTGATTTACTGTACTATATTTAATAGGAAACCACGGGTTATTTCTTTGCATTTTGGGTTGTGTCGCATCCATGTTGCTAGTTCCATCTGTGAGGAAGCTCAGATAGAATGCAGGGGGGAAATGCAGCATAGCTACAGTACTACAGCACACACCGTAAGTGCAAAGAAAAATATTTAATTTGGTACAAAAAAATCCACCCGAAACACTGTAAAACCTTCAAAGCAGATGCAGTTTACAAAAATATTGTATAATTGTAAGGAATTTCTATTATTATTATTAATTATTGGTAGGAAGGTCTGGTCATTACAGCACAGCAGGGACACCCCAGACTATGCTAAGCTACCATAGTGGGTACCTCAGTCTGATACTGAAACAGTCCAGGACTGAACGGGACAAAAGAGCAAGCTCACTGGCTGAGCCATTTGGGAGCCCCAGTCTGATAGCTTGCTCCATTGCCCATTGTCTGTGTGTGGACTCTTATCCCAAGACTAGGCAACTCAAAAGGCTAGGAATGGTTTAACAATCCAGTTCAGAAAAATATAAAGGGAAAGAAAGCACCATATAAAGTGAACAGGAGCTACTTAAAAGAATTCTAATAAATAACAAATACAGGTGAGAAAAGGTATTAGCAAAACTGGAAAACTGACAAAAAGAAACACTGCAAAGGTAGCTTATCAATGACAAAACTTTTACAACTGCAATATAAACAGTAAAGAATGAGGTAAAATGCATTTGGGATAATAATGTGATGAAAGGAAAATGGCTGACGTGTTAAATATTCCACTCAGATGGTTGCCAAGGAGGAAACCAACAGCATCTGGCATCTCAAGCTGAGGAAAGGAAGTTACTACAGTAATTGGTATTAACGCAGTTAAGGCTGAGGTGCTACAGGTATGGAAAGATTCATCCAGTTGTACCAAAGATGTCGTTTATAAGCCATTGACAAAACAGTTCTAAAAGCGTTCAAAACAGAGGAAACGCCCATTGACCGGAAAATTAGTAATGTAGCGCTTATCCTTAAAAAAGGCAGCATTAACATCAATGTATAGTACTACTGTACTCTTCTAACTACTGTATAATGAGATTTGATTTTAAAAAGCAACTAAATCAATATCCCTTACCGAACTATAATATGATTCAAGCTATAATTGATTTTTTCCTTAGTAACCCTTAAAACTATTGCATCTGTGCAGAACCATCAGCCTTTTCCTTTCTATATGAGGAGCTCTACACCAGTAGTCACCCCAGCTAGACTCCTTTGAAACACAAGGCCTTCCTCAGGCCACACAGTACTGTTCCACCACTTCTGTTGCTTACATTTAGGCCGCCTCTGTGAAAATGCTTCTGTTTGACTCAATGACGGATCTCAGATGACCCTTGGTATCTGGGAACCAGGGAAAAATACCAAGAATTTGAAGAAAAAAAATTGAAAGTAAAATTTATTCTCATCTTCCAGCTGTGAAAATATTTTTATCAGGAAACTTTGAAACAAGGCAAGAAAAAGTAGTGTAATTTATTGTTTCCTTAATATAATTAAAAAATGTGTATTACTTTGTCCCCTGATTCTTTTGAATGTGTTTATTGCTAATATACTGTATATTTTCTATATTAATTATTCATTAATCTATTAATTATATCTACATTTATATTTATGAGCAGTGCATTCTATTTATTTTTTATATAGATTTGAAAGAAAGCGCCGATTGTAAATCATGACGTACTGTACATGTTGACACAGTAGGGCTAAGAGCTTTATAAGGGCAGCAATGTGGAAGTTAGGCATGTAGCTTGGGAGATCATAACAATGTATAACTCCATTTGTCTATACAGCAAAACAGTGCTTGTATTTAGTGTATGTCCTGAGTGTTTTTAATTCCTGATGCAATGTGTCTACATAATCTGTTTTTTTGTAAGTTGATACTGCATTGCTGATTTTATCTTGATAACTGTGAGGCATACTGTACATTCCAAACACATCACTTAATGCAGTGTTAATCTGAGGATTTTCTAAACACACTTTAAAGCAGAGCAAGAAGGCAAAAACCCATGCTAAATATTTATTTGGACCAAGCCTTTTCAGATACAGATGATTTATCATTTATTGTGTGACCTGGAAAGTCAACATGGTGGATGAATTATACATTTTATGTTTGTGTTAACATTCATAAACTGATTTGAACTCTTTTATCCAAAAGATAATATCCTCATAATAAAGAATGGCAATCTTTGGAAGTATCTATCTATCCACATCACCTCTCAACTATCTTTCTCTTTACGAATTTATTGTCATTGTATGCTTTACAATCTGCATATAGAAGACTGCATTTTTCATTCATTTAGCTTACTTACTATACTGTAAGTAAAGCACTCTTTGGTTTGTGTTGAGGTAATGGTATAAGGGAAAAAACGCAGAGCTCTTCTAAGAGTAGCCATTCTACTGCTGCATGTGTGCAGATGTATGGCGATCCAGAACATTTTTTATTACATGTTGGTTTTGGTCCCTGGTGACACCACGCTCCTGAGAAAGATACAAGCTGCATTTCTCTAAAATACAGAAGGTACTGCACCAAATACACTAATCCATTTCATGGCAGTCCATTCTCTACCGTGAAATTAATGGAGATGATACTGTACTGATGATAATGTCAAAATCTAAACACATTATGGCCATTGCATGAATTGAACAGCTGGTTCAAAATAATCATTTATCGTTTCACATATTAATTAATAGACATTACATGACAGGAAACAAAAATTGAGTTACCAGTGCTTTATAGTATTGTTTATTGATACCCAGTACATTAAAATAACTTTTACTGAATTTATAATGCATGCAAATAAGAGTACATTTCTTCCACAATCTAAGATGAACATCACACTTTGAATTTCTAACTATTAACAGCCAATTTACACAATGGTAAAGGATGGTGGACTCTACAAGAAAAATCAGTATGAACGGAATTTGCTTTTTTATACACAGACAAGGCAAGGCATATTTCATGAGCAAAAGGCATCATTCATGAAGCTGAAATTAATATTAATTGCTACTGTATATATTTGTACATTTCTGGGTTTGGTGTTTTTTTATACTTTATGTCTAACAGCTACTATTAGATATATGTAAGAAGCCAATCTTCCTAATATGATTTTCTAAAAGAAAGAGGAAATGGCTAAAATGGTTTTAAAAGCCCTCCTGATGTTTTAACAACTGCAGACCACAAAATGTGATTCTACTGCATTTTACTATGCACAGCTTTTAGCAGGGGGAACCATTTGCTCTTCTTTTGAAGCTGCTTCCTTTCATTTCCGTGCTGGAACAGGTCGGGACCATCATTTTCATCAGCTTCTGTTGTTATTTCCATTTTCTGAATTATCAGCTTCAAAAGATTGTGCTGCTTTTCCAGGACATTAGAAATGTCCTTCAACCTGAAAAAAGAAAAGTTCAAAGTATACTGTTTGAAATACAGTACATTTCAAAATACATGTACATTAATGGTATCTATACTTTTTAAACACACGTCACTGTAAATGAATGCATGATTTATCAATCACATTACAGATATTGCAGCTATTATGCAATTATTAATTAAGTGATTTGTGTAAAACTTTAGGTTTAGATGTGTAACTGCATTTTAAATATTGCTTGTATTATGGTGTAGGTACTCTTTTTAAAACACATAATAATCATACAACTGTACCAATAATACCATTACAGTATGGTGCGCTGCATCATTTCAAATCCATGTATTCTCTGACAAACGAACGTTTGAACATGATGGTTGCATTTTGAACAGAGCAGTTTTGCTATAATTTCGAAGCTTGAATTACTCCTAAGAAATGAAAAATTGTTCTTCTTATTTTCATTTTTGGAATATTACATTTGTCCCTGTACAGATGTCATATTCCAAAATAAATATGGTAAATAGTGAAGTAACAAACTTTACTATTTAGAAGGGATCCAATGGGCTTAAGACATATTGCATGTAGAAAGTTTGGTGGTTTTGCAAAATTACATTCCTGCTTTTTTCTAACAGCATCCTAGAAAATAAAGCCTTACAATACTGCTCCAAATAGCTCTTTCATTTCATTTCAACAGGCAACAAAAACCAATAGGAGGATTCTCTGGAAAGACATACCCAGAGAGAGACGAACTCAAGCTTCCAAACAAGGTGCTGGCTCAGGCAGTTCAAGTAACAGATGTTTCTGGATAGCTTCCCATATATATATTTTTTGGCCAACAAATTTAATTTCAAAGAGCATCGCCGTACGTTTTTAAAATCTCCCATGCCAAGGCTGACACATAGATAGAAATGCAGACACATACTCGCACCAGGGCCAATTTTCCCAGTAGCCTTAACTTACCTGTAAGTGATTGGACTGTAGGAGCAAACAAATGCAAGCACAGGGAGAATATACAAACTCCACACTGATAACACCCGAGGCCCCAGCACAGTGAGTGCTGAAACTGTAAATTATATGTACTGTATGTATGATAAAATACCTATTATTAAATAATGAATCTAAAGAAGACGATGACTACTATAATAATTAATTGCATTCAATTTATATGGCAATTTTCATTCCAAAGCATCCCAAAGCAGCACCCATCTGGCTGATGGCTGAGACAGAAGTGAAAAAAACATATTGAATTAAAAGAGAAATATAGGGAGGTACGATTATGCAAGTCCTCAGTGGAATTTAGCCAGGACATTGCGGTTAACACCCCTTCTCTTACAAACAGTGAAATGGAACTTGAATGATCAATTTGTCAGCCAGTTTGGACCTTGGTTAAACATCTTATCTGGTGAAAACTGCCCAGTCCATCACTGGGGCTGCTCTCCCATCCATCCAGGACATTTATGACAGACGGTGATTGAGGAAAGCTCTAAGCATCAGCAAAGACCCCACACACCCCAGCTACAGACTGTTTGACCCTCTAACATCTGGAAAATGGTATCAGAGCATTCGGGCCCAGACTACCAGACTCAGAGACAGTTTTTACCCCCGTTTTACCTTCTCTCTTTTTCAAAACTCAAACACACATTGAAATCTACCTCTACCTCACATGTCAAGATGTTCACTCCCCATCATTTTGTATCCTTTATTCATTCTATTGACATATGATTTTGCACAACTGTTGTTGTTTTGCACATTGCCTGTTGTCTCTTTCTTTTCTTACACAATTGCATTGGTGTTTTTTTGTACTTCTTACTGTTTGAGAGCTAAATAGCATTTCGTTATACCATTTACCTGAGTATAAGTATAATGAGTATAACCTGTTTATCTAAAAAGGATGTGTTTCCATCAAAGTCAATGTAAATAGTTGAGACATTTTCTGGCAAAAGGTACTGTTGATCTGGGTATGAATGTAGAGAAAAGCTGTTTGTTTTAACATCCAATACAGTCAATTTTAATAGCTTTCTCCAGTAAGCCTGTGTATATTCCTTACACATCATGAAAATAATCCTGGGATATTACCGAATACAAAATCCTTTTCTTTAATGTGATACAGTCACATTGATTATTTGGTCAGAAAAATATCACTAAAGGAAACTTCAATTATAATTATTATAATGATATTAAAGAAAATCAATTCCACGGAATTACAAATATTTGTTTAAGTAAGCAGGAAATTAAGGAGTGGAGAGTAAAAATGACTGTATAATGAGATCATGAAGGAAGAGTCAAATACTTTATCATAGGTTTACAGCCTCACTGTATTCTGGACAGCAGAGGTCAGTCACGTACAGAATAAGAAACACAAGTACACTCCAAACGAGTCCCCTGTTCCTGTTGCAACTCCGAAAGGAATGACATTTAAATGAAAAATGGGAAAACTGGACAAAATTTAAATTGGATTAAATGAAGTTGAAATTATTATGACAGGTCAGATTCGGTAATCAAATACACATAGTAAAAAAAGCAAATGTGATATTTTATGTAAATCTACAAGATTTTTTGTATCTTTAGGATATGCGCATATGAACATATGCAGGTATACTTCATCCTATTTAATCTCTCATTTTGAGAGACAGTTTATTTTATGAACATATATTATTTATATTTACAATATTATTTATTACTATTTATATTGCCATAACTTATTTTGAACAGTAAAAAACTAATGTACTTAATGAAAAATACAGCTTCAGTCTCTGAAGCCTGACCTGTACATTTTTGTGATGCTGGGAAAGTATTTTGCAAACCCTCCTGGTACAAGACTCTGGTAAGTGTCTTGTGGTAAGTGACTTTAAACCTGTGGCTCTCACCTGTACTTCTGTCTCTGCAGCTCGTTTTCCAGGGGTGTCAGGTGACAAGTGTTGGCACTAAGCCGAGAACGAGACTCAGCCTGGTCACTCCAGTTCAGAAGGGATTGAACCTGTCAAGAAGAGACATTTAGCTTTTCACTTTTTCTTTCCCTGAACATGCAGGAATTGTAACTTTGTATATTGTACAATAAGTGGGGAAGTAAAATTCAGTACAAGTCAATTCTCTTTTTTTTTTTCATTTGAAATGCACTCATCAATGTGAATTCTTTCTAATATAAAAATGGCTTTGTAGTTACCCTTTAATTTATATTTCCCTTGAAGCCTATACAGTCCCTTTCGCTTTGGTTTGAGCTAGAATGGTTGGTTTTTAATCAATTTAATTAATAGCAGGGAGATACGGAGATGCAGTATTGAGCTGGCCTATACACAATTTGAGATTAAATGGGGTAAACATGATGCAATCTTTGACATTCCAATAATAATATTTTGTTTTTACAATGCGGACATCAAAACCTTATAATGTAAAATACACTGCATGCATATTGAGAACATGTGAAACGTATCAATATCTAAGCATTGCTAAATAAAATTATATCTGCAGAAATAGCTTAATTTTAATTAATCAATTTCTAATTAATTTACTTTGGAGAGGCATGAACTGGCTTAGATACCTTGGATGGCAGTAGGCTGGACAGCAGAGGCTGAGAAAGTATTTCACAAACCTTTTCTGCACAGGTTCTGTTTGGATAGACTGTAATGGTCTCCTGATCCACCCGTTTCATAAACCAGTATGGCAACTTCTCTTCCAAACTGGTATGAAGATCAATCTGTAGACATGTACAGTACATTGGGTGTTGTGATCTTTCAACGAAAGTTCAATTCATTTTTGCAGTGACTATCACATTTGTAAAGGAATGCAATCGATTCATGATGCTGAAACAGTCCTGACACAAAGATTTTGAAATGACAGTTATGCTTTTCTACCCCTGATATGGAAAACATTTCAGTGGTATAAGCAGTGGATTATTTAAGAGACTGCTACGCTGTTATTGATATTTCTTGTCATTAACATTGCAGTATGATAATGCAAATATGCTTGCTTTGGAATAATACTTTTAATACAGCTATTACAAACGACGGTGATTGGACACAATGTAATTTTAGGCTGTTAATTTGATTGTGCGTGTACAAAATATTGCTAATTACATACCTGCATTGCAATTCTTTTTAAACTTGCATTCCTCTGTACCTCTGCAATATCTCCAACAGCTAAACCAATCTGTGGCAAATAAAGGCACATTTATGTTTCTGTAGTACAGTCATGAATCAACTGGCATTGTTAATCTAAGGACATTGTTTCAGTGAAAATGGATAACTTACCAATAGGTTCATGAGGAGAATGGGCATGAGCAAAGTAAACCAGATGAAGATCACAAAAGTGATGTGAGGAAAGGGAAGTTTATTTTGCAGGGAGGGTATGAGGAAATTATCCTGATAGCTCAACTCTCCTACCATCATGACAAAGGTCTGCATTAATGAGGCGTCAATAGTTCCAAAATTTCTCTGGGAACAGGGAAAAGTATAAGTTATGCATATTTTCGAATTTTTGCCCTGACCATGAACAACTCTTGTTATAGTTCTAGGCAAACATTATTTTCTCAGATTTCTTAGATGAAAACAATTATCATTTTGTTTTGTTTATTTGATTTAAAATCAGGGCGTAAAAATGACCATTTCCACAATAGTAAGTGGAAAAATACCTAGAAGTTCATACCTGCCCAAGCATGAGGGCATAAAAGGACAAGGCAAAAGCCAGCATCAGGAAGAAGAACAGCAGCACGATACAGATGAGGGTGCGGAGGATCTCCCCAAACATCACCACATAGATCCCAATCCACTCAAACCTGACCAGAGAAACAAACAAGCCATTTTAATTCTCCGACACCAGAACACAGGAAAAAATGTAAACAAGATTCACCCCATCTGGCTTATTTGGTAGGAAGCTAATATCTTATTGATCCAAGGATCTAATCCAGCCATTCTGTGAAGGAAGCCAAGCTGTCAGCTTCAAACACATGAGTGGGTAGCTAGTTCCACACTCCCACAACCCTCTGTGTAAAGAAGCACCTCCTCTTCTCAGTTTGAAATGCACTCCCGCATAATGTTTACTTTTAACCTGTGGCAATGTATAGATTCCTCTAGTTTAGATCTATTGAGCATTTCCATAACCTTTTAATGTTAAGACTTAGTGGTCCGTATTTACTTGGTCCTGTTTTTGTCAACCTTGTTATTATTGTAAAGATCTCCCAGTAAATGAGTAATAAGGATGTCTTGAGCTAACCATAAAATGCTCCTGCCTAACATATCATGGGGATAAAACGTCACAATTCTGGTATTTTCTGTGAGATGGGAATAAAAAGGAATTATTTGTCATGTTCCTTTAATTCCTTTAATGTACTTGTATTGGAGCATACATGCAAATAAGCATTTCATTGCACTTGTGCATACAGTATGACAAATAAACTGAACTGAACTGATGGCTGCCAAAATCCTGCTTGGTCGTTCTGTATGTCAGTACTGACTATGTGATTATCCTGTACCTGCAGAAATGGACATTACCTTTGAAGATAAAGAAGGAAGTTGACCCAGGACAGGAGGACTGCTATTGCCCCACATTGCCAGTGCCAGTTACCCTTAAAATCATTCATTAAGGGAACCACAAATAATATCGAAAACAAAGCTGCTGACCAGTCCAAAAAATTTGAGAAGTCTCTGAAGTACCTCCTACGCTGTGAAAAACAAAAAGAAAGTAATACAATAAAATAGGTTTTGATGTGAAATGATGTAAATTATCTACATTTTGCATGTGACTTTGTCTTTCCTTCTGCTTCAGAGTAAGGTAATAAACCAGACAGTAAATTATAGTATATTGTCAGAAACAACTGGTATTTTGTCAGACACAGTGCAAGATACTGTATGTGTTTTGTCACTGACCCATTTAGTGAGGCTTGTTAAGAAATAAGTAAAATAAAATGTTGGTTGGAATCCTTATCCTTTAAGTCTTAGCCTAACAAGGTGTAAAACAGGCACCAGATATAATATTTGATATGTGACAAAATGTATACCAGACAAATACTTAAAACATGATGTAATTTTTGGATCAACTAGTTTTTCTTATTGTTCAATAAGTAATTAGGAACATAAACATCCATTACCTGTTGGAAAATCTGGACCAGCTCCTTACCAACGGTATATACATTCATAACAAAAACCAGCATCATACAGGTTGTCAGAAAAAAATGTTGCTGTAGTAAAACACAACACAAAGAATTTGTGCATTGGAAATGTACATGATGACAACTTGTACAAATATACAAGAAAACAACTTGAATGGCCTGGGGAAGATCACTTCACTTCTAAAATATTCAAGACTATATAAATCTGGTATTTTCATTAATGATTTTTCTTAAAAAAGAAAGACACTTTTGCAGATAACACCTACTGTATGTCTTAGAAATTACACAAGGATAAATAATGACTTAAGTGCGCTCAGTGCTAGTCATCTATAACATTATGTTACATCAGCAAATAATACTTTTTACATAGTACAGTAGCATTACTTCTGATGCAAAGCCAACATAGTGCATATCCCTACTGTCAAGCAATGTGGTGGCAGCATCATGTTACAGTTCTGCTAATCATCAGGAGAGACTGGGAAGCTTGTCAAGACTGATGGGGACATACAGTAGATGAGATGGAGCAAAGTACTGGTGAATCTTAGAGAAAAACCTGCTTCAGACAAAAAAATCATCCTTCAGCAGGAGAATGATTCAAAGCACAAAGCCAAATTTAGGCTTGGGAGGTTTAAGAATATGTATGTCCTTCAGTGACTAGGTTTAAGTCCTGACTTGAATACGTTTGCGAATCTGTAAAAGGCTTGCAAACTGCAGACTACAAGAGATCCATAAGCAACTTGAGCTAATCTGCCAAGAAGAATGGGAAAATATTGCACCAAGCTGGTGTGCAAAGCTGATAGAAACCTACTGTAGCTACTGTAATTGCTGTCCAAGATGCTTCCACCAAATTTTGATCTTGCAAATCTGAATACTGTACATATGCAATCAATATATTTAATTGTTTGCCATTTCGTTTTTGCTGACTTTTACTCTACCTTACCTTTCTTTCCCATAGAAGTCTTCAGCTTGAGCATTCAGGATTTGGATAAAATATTAGGTTTAAAAATGTGTATGCATCATTTTGTATCGACACAGAATAGGACACCATCGGAAGGGTTAGAATACTTTTGCAAGGCACTGTAAACAGTTCAGAATCTTTCTAATGTTTGAACTTCACAAAGAAGTAAAAGAAGCACAATATGTTAATCTCTTTGCATTTAAAACTACCGTACCTTCAGATAAATATCTCTTAAAAAGCCAAATAGTGTAAAAATAGAAAATGTGACAAATTCACAAACACACAATCACAATTAAACAGTCATATTACTGTACCTTGTTCAGAGGTTTTGATGCTACGGTTATATTTCCGTAAGTCTCATTAATTGATGGTCTCATACTCACAATGAGGTGTGACAAAGGCAGCAAGCCCAATGTATAGATAGCTAGATTAAGACCATGGACTTTGACTCCATAAGCAAGCCTGTGGGGGGAAACAGACAGATTCCAGATTGTGACTCATATTCTAGGTTATCTGCTTCTCTATGCTGTGTGTTTTTCACAATGTGCCACCTGCTTTTACAGCAAACCTGACATAACATCATACAGTAGCACATATTCAAAAACCTGAACTGATACTTTTTAATAAAAAAAGAAGAAAACGTCTCTTTAAAAAGGAAAAGGGAAAGCAGTATATATCGTATCAATACAATGCAACCAAGAAGAGGTTTTGTACAGTACAGATTTATGACCATTGTAAATTATTAGCTCCAGTTAAAAATAGATCTGTATAAAATAATCGTTTCTTTCATCTGACAACACAAAGATTTCTCCAATGAGCAAAATTAGAAAATAATAATAAGATATATATACCGATATAATAGCAAAAGATACAGCATGCTCAAATCTATCATCTTTGTATTATCTTTAACTGTGTAATACAAGACTTGAGGATTTTAAAGATTGATCAGCCTGAGAAGACAAGGATGTGACCTTTAAATGGTAATGATCATGAATTCCATTTAAACCTGGTTGTAACAGCACTGCATTGTAAGTCATTGTGAGTGGTCATGCAAAACAACATTTTCACTCTATTAAATTGCTTTTCCAGATCACATTTCATCTTAATGGTCTGTGTGATGAACTTGCACAAGCCTTGAAAGCTTGAGGTTACGTAGGGCAGCTTATGATGATGATGTTTATTCAATTCTGTGAGCATTATTCTTGTTCATTTTCAGAGAAGGGGAAGAGACTATGTTTATCTCCCTTTTTTAAAGCCCCCTACCATCCATTAATTTTACATAACATGCTGTATGAGGCCCTGCCATGTCTACAGTGAACATGATCCAGGAAAATACTAATATTATAAAAGACACATATACTGTACTCAGTTTCACAATCCATTCAACATTTCTATGTTCCTATTGGAATTCATATACTGTAAGAATTTCTACATTCACATTCTTGAAGACATTAACCTTTTTTGAAAGACTGCAAACAGAACAGTTTAAATATTTAAAAGCTTAATAGTCGTTGTTTTTTGTAGTGAATTCTAAAAAACTGCTAGACTTTTCTGCATTCCAGAAAAGTTAAATATGTCCTTCTCTTTAGACATAACAGACTGAGGAACATGGTTTAAGAGTGATGGCTGTTTAATCCAGGCTGTGTGGTGACTGATAAATCATCTTCTTACATTTAAATGTGGGTCTGAACACTCTTTGTCTGCTTTTATTTAATGTAACGGGTAGCTAATAATGGTAAAGGAAGCAGGCATATACAATACAGAGAAATTAAGTGCAATATTAGAAGTTCTTCTTTGTTTTGATTATAGATTACAATATATATTTCCACCTACAGTACATTAAAAAAGGACATGATTAAGTAAATTGTCTCATTAATTATAGTGTGTCTTAGGAAGGCTGTGCAGCTGGGAAGAGTATGCATGCTACCTGCTAAAATGTAAACATTTACTAAAAATGTGTGTTCAAAGAATCCCCCACATTTAATAACGAGTTCGAGTTTCAGGCAACACACAAATCATGTCCAGCTATCCAGATGTTTTTGGAAAACTGACTGTAATCTCAATGTCCAAAGTATATTATTATAAGGAAATCCCCCAAATCATACAAAGATTTTGTTGAATCTAGGCATCACAGTTTAGAAGATTGAGCAATTCTTCTGTTGCCCAATACACTTTCCATGCGTAAATCTATTTACATATACTTACTGTAATTCTTTACATTTTATTTTCTTGCATTACAGTATTATGTACTGATACACAAACAAAATGCAGCACCCAGTCCTATCAGATTTCCTCAAGTATTTTAAAATTAGACACAATATGTGAACAGATGATATTATTGTGATCAATTTTTCATTAGGACATATGATACAGGTGGCACAGTGATGCAGTGGTCAACATTACTGCCTCACGGTGCTGGGGTCCTGGGTTCAATTCCTGGGGTGTTATCTGCATGGAGTTTGTACAGTACGTTCTCCCTGTGTTTGAGTGGGTTTCCTCCCACAGTCCAAAGTCATATTGGCGGGTTAATGGCTTCTGGGAAAATTGGCCCTGGTGTGAGTGTTAGTGTCTGTGATGTGTGCTCTGTGATGGACTGCCGCCCAGTACAGGGTGAGCAGTTTCCTGCCTTGCATCCGTGACTTGCTGGGATAGCACCAGCTCCCCCATGACCCTGCATTAGATAAAGTGGTTCTGACACACTGTCAAAATGAAAACATTAATTAGTTTCAAGCACGGTCACCCTTAGCATTAACATTGTCCTTGCCAGTGCTGACCCATGGATCTGTGAGTTTGAGTGCTGTGTGATGTTTTATCAGTCTTCCTTTTCAGCAGATGTCTGCTGGGCAAGGCTGGTCGATCTCCTTTGCCTCCTGCTGATGGCATTGGGAGATAAATGAGACCCAACACTGGGTTTCCTGATTTAATGATACTGTAATCCCAGCAAAAGTCATTCTGTTTTATTTCTTCTCAGAATTTGTTATCCAGTCTTATGCAGTTTAAAAATGATCAAGTAAGGGTTTATTCCATGCTGAAAAGAGAAGAAAAGAAACGACGTTTCGGGTGTGTAGCCTTCTTCCAGTTTGTGATACCCGAAATGTTGTTTCTTTTCTTCTCTTTTCAGCATGGAATAAAGTTTTTCTTGCTCCTTTGCAGCCTACACATGCTGTCTCAGATCCTTACTTGAACTGTTTAAAAATGATTACACACATGGATGAGAGAGATGTGAAGGTCTTTGGACTGTGTGTTGACTGTCTGTCTTCCACGATGAGCTCAGTCCTTCACACATTTGGTTTCCTTATTTCTCTGGCAATTTCTTTTGCTGTACAGTATGTTTGAAGCTGTTGATGCATAATAACTCTTTCCCACTCCTCTCAAAAACCTGCTACCTTCAATCATGCAATCTTCATTAGTCGACCGGGGTATAGTTGAAATTTTTGCCATTCTTGTTTTATTTTTTTTTCAAATTGCTAATTATTCAGATTCTTAATCAGCTTATTTTGACAATTCTAACTGAGCTCAAATGCCAAACTGAGCTGCACGCATTTTTTTAAATCACAACACTTACGCTCAGATTGTTATATTAAGCAATAATACTGCTCAAAACACTACCTGCACATTTAATTTAAAATGCACATAACATCACATACATTTCTAATGAGCAACTGATGTAAAACTGAAGTCTGTCATGTTTTTAATTTGCACCCATTTATATTGAATTTAACTGAAATAAACAAAGTCAATAAAGTGTATATTACAGTATGTGAGTAACTGAGTTACCAAAAATGTTTTGACAAATTTATTAAAGCAAGCACTCTGCTCTTACTTTTGACAGCAGTTAAAGAATTAAAAATATAATTGTGAATTCTTGGCACAGCTAAACGTATTTTCTGCTTAATCTGGAAAGTTTAAGGATGGCACATACAGAATGTGTACCTAATCTGTAGGGATTTCTAACACAAATACTGCACCTCTACTAATTAGCAAGAGACGACTAAAAAATATGGTATGATCATGACGTGAGTGAAGGATTGTCTGGAGGAATCAGAATAATTAGGAAAATATGTACAGTAATTTAAAGATACTGAAATGATGACGATGATGTAAGGAAGGGATTGACAGAGGAGTGTCCATGAGACACAGGAGTGTTTTATTTGCTTTTACACGAGCTTTAGCCTCTCGTCCACATCATTTTTTTTAAAGAGTGCTGGCTGGCTCTCAATGGACACATTTACTCTGAGTACATAAAGGTTTTGATACTAACCATTTCATTTCCAAATACTTCTTGCACACTGGGTGGGTCAAGAGTTCTATGCGGTTAAATCGTACCATTGCCTGAAAAAAAAGCCAAGACAAGATTGTTACCATAAACTTTATCACACCTTCTTCCATACTTACCCCAACACCTCTCAGGGCCTGATGAAAATATGTTGCAGACTGAAACACATTGTGCAGATAGTGTATGTCATTTACCTGCAGACTACTAAGTCTACCAAGTATATCTTGGTACTTTATAATTTATTGAACCTTAATTGGTATTGTTGCTCAAATTATTCTGGGTGCACGGATCACCCTTGAATAAATAATTGCAGTGATTTTGGCTAGTCTATTCTCTCAACGGATTTCTTTTTGTATCCACATGTGTCTTTGGAGAAGTGTTTTTCTTTTACAGTATGTTATTGTTGTAAAATATCCCCTGTAATCTACTTTGCTAGAATATTATCACATTCACATTAAGAGATAAAACATGCCTACATTTTATCTGTATTAACCTAGCACTGCATTACATGAAAATTACTTTTCGAAATGGAAGTTTTCGGTCTGGTACCAGTATATTTTCCAGTACGAATGGTTATACTGTAGCTAAAACGTTCTTCCAGCTACAGTATAACACACTAGCTCTGTGGCACAACTATTATTCTTCACCATACATTTTTTTAAAATTTCACATGGATTAATTAAAAGTATATTGACATTTGGAAAATCACTAAATATTTGCAGTTAAAATCACCTTTTTTATTTTGCCTCACCATTTGAAAAACTCATCTTCTTTTAAAGCAGTCAGTTAAATTCAGAGGGATTTGAGGTTTAAATGAATGTTTCCTAAAGGTATAGAATCGAGTATACTGTACATTTTTCTTCCTGCTGTAACTGATTAAAACAGTATTCATACTGAGTAATGCAATATTAAAAATCTCTTAAACGCTGCCATTCTTGGCTGAGAATATACAGCTACAGTACTTGCAGAATGTGACAGCCCGGCCAGTACTAGATGTTCCCAAACAATATGACGGGAAACTGGTTGTGTGCAACGTACCGCACATTTAGCACAATGCGTTAGACCAAACACATATCCATTAAGGCACAGTTTGCCTTTTCAGAACTTGGTCTTCATGGTCCGAATAGCTTACCTATAGCTATATAATAGCTTATCAGATTAGCTGATCATAGCAAAGGTAAAAAACCTTCACAAACCTACTTCCTCTCTGGAGCTGGGCCTGTCCCACTTCCTATAGCTTTCCGTACCTTAGACTGCAGCACCCTCTCCCCACCCCCCTCCTAGATGGAAAGCTTGTCTAATCGCAGGCCGACAGTCCGACAATGCTGTACCCACTGAAGCAGCTAGGGGGGCAGTCATGGTAAAACACCGTCAGGGACACAACAGCAGCGTCCGTATTTGTGGTCTGAGCCTACGATCATCTGGTTATGGACCCCTTTTCGGCTTCAGGATTTTAGTCAGTGGCAGAAAAGCGGCCGTAGGAATAGATTCAGGGCAAACGAGGCTCTGGGGGACCTGAGCAGCAAGTGGAACAGTCAGAGGCAATGGTCACTTCCCTAGACCAGATGGCTTATAGTATGTGAGAGCATGTGCTTTAGTCTATCAGGACTTCATGTTCCAACCTATAATACAGGAGAGGTTATAGGATGTGGAACAAAATAAATTAACAGCCAGGAAATTCACAAGCTGACCTGAAAAACGTCTGAAATCCTCAGTGTCTGCTTTAGTGAATTCTATCCGTGTTATTGCAATTATGTTGTTTTTTCATCACAAACAGGATGTTCTCATCTCACACACTACGTGTGGCTGTTTAAAAATACATAGTTGTTTTCGTTTCTTTGGGGATCACAGTATAATCAGCACTTTGTCTGCTTTCTAGACGCAAAGAGAAGGTTACGTAGTCTACATCTGTTAGAGGAGCAGCTGAGGAGGGGGAGGAATTGCAAGAATGAGCGTGGCACATCGGCAATGTGTTGTTCTTCATTTACATAGGAAGATTAGCAATCACACTGCTTACACTCGGATCTGAGTACATCTGACACTGCTGGCACAGCAGTATCTTAATTATGGCAAAAGCATACCAATCACAATTCCCCCTAGCTCGTTAGCAATTTACAGAGGGAATCTCGTTTTTAGAAGAAAAGCATATATCCTGTATAGTGAGAGATTATATCTGTGTGTATTTATCATTATTGTCTTCCGCAGTCTTTACCAATACAGTGGTGAAAGACCATCTCCACGGTGTTATTCAGCTGTTCTTGTCCATCTGTATGTCTAATTTTCTTTCATATGTAATATTTTTCATAAGTTGTGAGAGTACAGTAAAAAATGTAATGATGGCGCAATTTGACAAATATTAGTCAATGTGATGTTCTGTCACTATACTGATAATATTGTTGTGTTCTCTTAAACAATCGGACTTACATTTAGTGCTCCAAGAGGCTTGAAGTAGTATCTTTTATCCGTTTTTGCTAGTTTTGCATAGTGCATAGGGGCTTGCAACCATTGGAAGTTGTATTGAATCTATAGAAAAAAAAACAGATGAGATCGTGTAAACATGAATATAAAACAGACATTTTCCATCACTGATGGGCGGATTGCAAAAAATAACCAAAAGGACTGTTTACCAATTCTTCAGAAAATGATATTTCTTTAAAAATATAAATTAAAAAAAAATTAAACAGCCTGTGTGTTTGGTCTTTGTTCAAGTATTTTGTAAATAAGATTCTACTTAATCTTTTTTATTCTGCTACAGTAATAGAATTAGAATAGGGTCATAACTCCAAAAATGCTTCCAAATGGTTAGTTGTACCTAAATAATTGTTTAAAAACATCTGATATAAATGGCAATGGAGAAAGTTTATAAACTAAAATTGGTGTTTAAAAAATACTTACGCAGTAGTCATAGCTGTTGACATCATCCTCTGATTCATTCACACTCTTGTCTAGAAGAAACTGTTGAAAATAAACAATAGGCTGTTACTGACGATGCTGTCAGACTGCCTCTAGCTGCACAAAATATACTTATGTTTCTAATGTACAGTACTTTGAGAAGTAATTGTAGTTTTGTTAACTACAGTGTCCAGAAAAAAAGTTGTAAACCCTCAAAAGATACAAATGGAAATTTCATAGTTTTTCCACGACAGGCTTTTTGAACCTCTCTGTAAATATCCAAAAGAGTTTATAGCACCCAGATTCATGATTCTCGAAGAAAAACATTGTATCAATTACTGTAAATAATGCGTAATTAATGTACAGGGGACGTGTGAAAGTAAAGTAAAAAAAAGAAAACAACCCCTAACTGAATTAAGCTCATTTAAGGGAGTATTGAAATAATTAGGTAGAAATGGGGGGGCTGGGTTTGGAGGGCTCCACCTTAAATAAAGATCTGCAACATTGTGAGTTTGTTCTTCACCATTCAGGTGTGTGGAAGGTAGTCCTGCCATGATCTAAGGAAATCTCAGAGGAACTCAGAAAAGAGTTGTGTCAAGGGTTGCAAGGGTATCAGACAATTGGAGAAAGTTCAAGAGCACAGCCACTCTACCCAGGAGTGGTTGTCCAGCCCAAGCTTTGAGAGAACAAATTGGAAAATCATCAAGAAAGTTACAAAGAACCCCCGAGCAACATCCAAGGACCTGGAGGCCGCTCTCGCCTTGGCTAACGTGTCTGGTCATAACTCGACTGTCAGTAAACTACTGAACGAGAATAGCGGTCTTGGAAGAATAAAAAAGAGAAAGGCACTGCCATCCAAAAAATAAAACATTGCTGCCCATCGGAAGTTCACCAAAGAACACAAACATGACCCACAAACTTTCTGGAACAATGTTCTCTGGACAGATGAGTCAAAAAGAGAACTCTTTGGCCTCAGTGAGAAATGTTACTATACAGTATGTTCGGCAAAAACCAAACCAAACTGCATTTGGAAAGCGGAACCTTTGTGATGTGTGATTTGCTTTGCTGACCCAGAAACAGGATGGCTTGTTATCATCAACACAACCATGACTTTTGCATTGTATGAAACGATCTTAGAGGAAATTGTCAGGCCTCTGTCCGTGACTTGAAGATGAACCAAAAGTTGGCCATTCAAGACATTGATCCTAAAGATATCAGAAGTTCTACAGAAGAATGGCTGCAGGAGACGAAATTCTGCATTTTTACAATAGTCTAGTCAGTTCTAGACCTAAACCCCATTGAAATGTTGTGGCAGGACCTGAACTGAGCTGTCCGTGCAAGAAAGCCCTCGAATGTCAAAGAGGTGAAGTTGAAGGGACTAATTCCTAAAAAACGATCAATGGTCCGGGAAATGTTTAGTTGCAGTCTTTGCTTCTCGAGTGGGCACCATAAGTTACGAATCTAAAAGTTTGCATACTGTACTTTGTCAAACACAGATAGATATTAAATAATTTGAGGACAAATAAGGAGTATTATGTTTTGTGTCATTTGTTTAGTTAGATTTAGAATATTTAAATTTAATAACATTTAGGTACAGTATTAAATTCTTTGGGACATTTTGTTTCGGTACAATACCAAGCAAACAAATGGAGTCTACATAGTATATACAGTACATGATCATTGTAATTCAAGTTTCAGATATCACTTGAGCACATGTCCCAGACTGACAGACATCTGATATTTTAAAAACACTTAAAACAAAGGGGTGTAGTTGACAACGGCAAGACAAGTCATTTGTGATTAATGCAAAGTATGTAAAGAAAGTCTGGAACATGGTAAAGCTCTTATACATAATTTGCCTATGCTAATATTTTGGTGGAAAAATATTTTGATAACCTGTGAGCTTTCACCCCTATTAACAAATGCAATAAATGTTAGAGCAGGTGGGCAATTTCCTTAGCAGGTCAAATGAGAAGAGAATTTGTCCCAAACTGCTGAAACACAGTGTATTTGTAGTTACTGACGAGTCTACAGATGAAAAAGATCAGGATGCTTTACACAGTACTTTTTTTTTAACGAGATTCGACAGGGACTATGGAGTACTTCTGAAGTGAAAACTTTTATTAACAAATAGTTTCATAAAAGGGCAATGTGAAATTATGAAATGTTTAAAGACTCCGAGGTGGATTTTAACAGTGTCACTAGACTTGTTTCTGATTAAACCAATTTCATGGTCAAATTATACAATGACATTGCGCAGTCTTATTGTGAAATTCGATGTAAGTTGTAATAATACCCAGTAACTGGCCAACTCTTCTTTAATAGAGCTTGGACGCGTGTTCCTTGTAAACAACCTGTTTGTCACAACCTCTGCAGCCAGAGGGCGCTCCTTCTCTGTCCTGTCTCTCATTTCCGGTTCCCTGCTGTCCTTCCGTTGTCTCTCTCTCTCTGGGGCTATATATTTCCGGGTCTTTCATTCTGGCTTCGCTCAGCATTGACGTTCGGATGTCCTGAGACCCGCCTAGCACCAGGTCGCCCCACGTCCGCTACCTGAGGGCACAGGTTTCTATACGGCATTTCCTGAACAGCTGAGCCCTGGCTAACCCCCATCTCGCCGCTACGCATAGGGTCTTTTCACTCTCCTGCCATTCCACAGTTTGTCCTTTCCGACATCCGTGACACTATTATTATTAGTTATTCACCGTTTGATTATTCCATTACTTTCTTCTATTATTCTCTACATAGTTTATGCACATAATTTACAGTTTGAAAATGTTACAGAATTAATTTTAGGATTACAGCATTATATGTATTAAGTATATGAATTTTTTGTAGATCAGTGATGGAAAGCATAAATCTAAAATAATTATAACAATGGTTCTATTGATTAATACACACTGTAAAGTACAGTATGTGTTTGTGGTAAAGCATTTTATTAATTTCACATTTAATAAAATACAGTATTTTACCAACAAAAAGTTGCACGATTTAATATTTGTAGTACTGAGATTATTAAAGTAATGGAATGAGATGATTGCTAAAGACTGCTCAACTGGGGGTTAAATAAGGAGTCTATATCTCCATCTTTGGGTTGAAAATAACACAAGCCTCAGTCATTGTAACTACTGAATTTTTGACATTGCTGGACATATGAAAAAATGTAATTTGGTAACCTGAGAGGTAATTTAAGGACATTCATATTTATTCATATTGATCTCTTTTGGTGGACATGCAGCCAATTTCACTAAACACAAACATTTTAGATAAGCAAATCAACATTTTGTAGCAGCAGAGGGAATTATGAGAAAAATATCACAGAGTTGTTTGGTTTACTGCACATTTATTTCAAGAAATGAGCACTGAGGAAAATGCGAAAAAAAAACACCAAGGATTCAAGTACAACTTACTTTGAAAGCTTCTGGAAGAAATTCTATCATATCTAACACAGGGCAGGCTTTAGCAGAGCCAAGTTTGAATGTAATGAGAGCCTGGGTACATCTGAAACAGGAGCAATTAAAGTTTATGAGAAATTCATATTACTGCATGGGTGGAGGTAACAAAGTATTAGAAATTCCCACCAAAAGCACCTTGTTCTATAAGTTTAGAGCAATAGTTAACTTAATGTTAAACTTTTATCCGATTGTCTTATTTCGGGCAGTCACAATGGCCAGTGGTCCAGGTGATCAAACCAGTGTTATCAATCTAATCCTTAACTGTAAAGTTCAAACTAAACTAAATCATATGCTGCAAAATCATTAAGTCATCCCCCTTTAAACTTCAATATTTAACAGAAACCACTTAATTCCTAGTGTGATCATTAAGCAAACTGCAAGGTTTTACTATGATATTGTACAATGTATGCATTACATACATACTGTATTACCAAGCAATAGGTTTATTCAATGCTGAAAAGAGAAGAAAGAAAACACAACGTTTAGGCCGTGGAGCCTTATAAAGACACACCTGAAGAAGGCTCCACAGCCGAAACGTTATGTTTTCTTTCTTCTCTTTCCAGCAGGGAATAAACCTATTACTTGTTCCTTCGCAGCCTACGCATGCTGACGCAGCTCCCCACCTTAACTACATACGTATACTGTATAAAGTGTACGTACACATGTTAATGATTAAATGATTGTGTTACCAATTACTTTGAAGGTGTTGTAAGGAAAATCTGAAAGCATCTGCACTTCGGTACCTTTCACTCTCAATAACAGCATAGGCCACCTCCTTTCTCCCATGGTAGATGGCTTCGTGCATGAAGGATGCTTCACTCTTGTTCAGGGTGATTTCTGCACCTTTACTCAAGAGCAGCTTTACGGCTCCTGTGTGCCCTTCTCTGGCAGCCAGGTGCAGGGCAGTATTCTTTCACACAAAGACAGAGAAGTGAAATTCTAGTATGTACTGTATACCGCACAATGTCCTTCCATTGTCTCCCAGTCGCACATCGCAAATGACATATCATGTCCTGTTCAGTTTAGCAGCTGTAAAACTACCAGTGTTTGCTTATGGAGACAGGGAGTAAATATTATGGAGCACAATACTGTAGAATAATCAATTAAACATTACCCATGTGTTTCCTGAGGTACGAGGGGTAGATATCTGGCTCTGGGCTGGGGTAATTGACCTTGTCTCCTGACCTGGCTTTAGTGAATTTTGGCACCTGCTGTTGTACATGACACCACAGAAATAGCTGAAAGGCGGGACAACATCTTTAAGAATAGCCACTGGACCTTCAGTAGAATGCAGACCCCCGTTCATGGTAATAACATTGTTGGACTTAAACAACATTGTTGGACTGTAACACTGCTGCAATTCAGGGCACTGTGTGAAATACACCTCGTGTGCGTCTCTTTCACTGTTCTCCAGAAGTGGCCATTTTCGTTACAATTAAACTCATCTCAAACCCTCACTGGGCTGTGCTGTGACTCCTTGCATCCCCACAGAGGGAATTAGAGAACTTGGAGAACTTAGCACGAACATGGGGGAGAATACAGTATGCAAACTGCATATTGACTTATATACTAGTCACCACACAGCCCTATTGCACAATAAAGTGTACACTAGTACAGTAGAACAATATTTCTGAAGTTACTCATCATGTGCTCTTCAATGAAGAACATGATAATAAAATAACCCTAAAATCATAACATTCCTAAATATTTTTTTACATGACTCTGTTTTAAAAAAAAGTCTTCAATGCAGATGCATTTTTTGTAATCTGTGAAGGCCATCTGGAGTGCTTTTGTCTCAGGGTCCCAGAAGGGAAGCCTGTGGGTCCACACTCCAGGTGTCACACAGCTGGTGTGCCCTTCAGCGAGATACCCCGTCCTTTCATTTCCCCTGCACATGCCCAGCTGCAAAAATGGATCTCCAGGCTGTCATAGCAAATGTTAATGTGTTCTCAATGGACTGAACTGGTTCAATAAAGGAATAAGAACACTGTACGTGCTCATGATATATATTCATTCAAGACCTATCTCTGACGCTCGGGACATTGAGTGCACAGACCATTACCAAGATTGCCCTGTGGTAATAAAAAGGTTTCTGTCACCTTCATATCTAATTTGCTCCGTACTTCCTCAGCTTCAGAGTATCCTTGACTCTTTCTGGCCCATCAGTGTCGCTGATCATAACACAATTCCATCCAGTTTAACTGTTTCACTGCTTTTGTTCCAAACATCCCACGACGTTTTCAACTGCTAACTGATCTAGTCTTCATATGCAAACACTGGGATTTGTGCTGAATGTGACTAAAACATTCTACTTGATATCTGAGTGATAAATGTATAAGTGCAAATTAGGACTAACGTGAGGAATAATCAGTTGTTTGACATTGATTGGAAATGAACACCAAGTGGGCTTGTTTTATGCAAGTTTGTTATTAGAAAATGTGTCCTGTACATGTGCTGCTTACAGTACTTGGTAGTGACGGGTGAATTCATTTCTTAATATAAAGAGACTGCCATATGTTAACAGTTTTTAAGTCTTAAAAAATTAAAAAAACAATCTTCCATTGTTACCTAACGTTGCTATGCCTGCAAAGGAGAGGAGAGTTTGTAGAAAAATAAGATTTTTAAGTTTTCCTTTGTGCATTACATTGCACAGCATTACCATACTAGTGTAGAGACCGAATACTGGAACAGCCCATGCAATCATACCCCATCTTCATCGACCTTATCCATAAGTTTAATATTTGTTCCCAAAAGTATCTTCATGGTCTGTGTATAACCTTCTGCGGCCGCATGATGTAAGCATGTCCAGCCCTTGTGGTCACTAATGGAACAGGAAACACAGGCAAAGGAAAGCAGAACTCATTAAAACAGTGGGGAGGCATCAGGGGGAGTACTTCACCAGACAGATATTCTGGTAAGGATTTTAAATTTTTTTACATTTAAAGAAACAGAGAGAGCCGCTAAACGGCAGGACATTTTGCATGCTATGGATATGAAGTTCTTGTTGTTTTAGTTTGAAATAGGATTTCTAATAATTTGGGCTTCTGCTGTGATTGGGGTTAACACAGTCATAACATTATTTTGTCAAATAAACTGCTACTAGTTAGCTAAAAGATGTTTGTTCAATATAGTAAACGATTGTGTATAAAGTGGTCAAAAATCCCGGTCTCTAACAATCAATATGTTTACAATGATCAGTTTCATTCCTATGCTTATTTGTAAAAGATTTTTCTTTTCCAGGCTTGATTATTTTAAAGCAGTGCTTGATGATGTATCCAGACATGTTCTTATTAATTAACAATATGCCCATGTTATCTAAAACTAAATCTCTTCCACCTGTTTTTGCATCATTCCACTGGCTTCCTGTGAATTTCACAATTAATTTTCAAATACCGTACTTCTGATCACATTTAAGGGCTTAAATGTTTTGTCTCCGTATGACATCACTGCAGTGTTACCTCCCTGAACATCAACACAGTGAACTTTCTGAACTCCAGCAGTCTTTCAGTTACTAGTAGGGTCTGAATGCTGAGAGACAGTGGTTTTTATGTTCTGATGTTCCACAGAGGGGAAATGCTTTCTTAGCCCTTATTATATATGCAAGTCAGTCAACGCTTTGAAATCCTTAAGGCCTCAAACTTACTTTCACACAATGCCTTTTAAATCATTTATAATTGTTTTGGTATTTTTTACATTATATGTATTAATTCGTATGGTATAAATGTTTTTGCTTTTGTTTTGCTGTACGTAAGCTTGAGATGCTCTGTATTGAAAGGTGCTATACTACTACTACTACTATTAGTAGTATTGAACTGCATTAGAGAATGTTTACCCCTGCGTACCTGAGGAACAAAGCTCCTTTCCGGAGAAGCAGGTCCACTACCTTGGTGTGTCCTCCCACAGAGGCCAGGTGGAGAGGGGTCAACCCTTTCTCATCCCCCTCATTCAGAAGACGGGTGTCTACCATGGTCTCCAGCAGCCTGCGGCATGTGTTGATCCGCCCATATCTTAACAAGCAATGAAAAACATTGGATTTTAAGCGGAGCTGGATGGAACAGAGTAACCATTGTACTGTACATTGTTTCAGGATTCAGACCCAGACCTGCTTTCCAGATTTCAGTCTTATTTTAAGTATGTACAGCATGGTAGTAATCACGGCGGACATCTAAAATGCAATCACAGCCGATCGACAGCAAGGTGGGGAATAACAGTCTACGTTTTGCTCTGATCAGAGCTGGTGTGATTTGACCCAGAATGTGATCTACCAACCCTCAGGCACCAATCCAGCACCACCCACAGAAATATTGGCCAAGCTCACTGCGCCCAAAGAGAAACTTGGGCACTCTTGGAAAGTTCTTTCGAGTGACGTCACACTTAACAGTCTCCCATTACACCAACAAGCCTGTTACATACGTGCATAACAGTCTCAGGATCTTTACCACTCCCCAGAGTTTTTCAACTAATAACACAGTCATTTAAACATTGTCATGTGTAAGAAGAGGCCATATAGTCCAATTGATTCACTCTGACATTGCTTAAGGCTAATTTTAATCTTACCTTGAGACAGCTGCCAATCTGATTCAGTATTAAGTCGGAGACAAAGGTACAGAGTTCCAGTACTGTGATTGTCATTTACAGTACTACTATGACAATACTGCTAGACCCATGTAATTGTTCCTCATTTCATGAGGGCAATCCCACTATAAAAGATGGTAACCGTTGTGGGTGTTATTTAATTAACTCTGACAAATACTTACTCGGCTGCAAAATGCAGAGCTGACTTTTTGTCCTTGGATTTAAGATTCAGTGATACTTTCATACCCAACATGTTATTTACTGAATCTGAGACACCCAAGCGACAGGCATAGTGTAGGGGTGTGCATCCTTCGTTATCTTCACTGTTCAGAAGTCCCTTTACATCTTTGTGCTGTAGCAAAGAAGACTGAATAAGACCAAGGAGCAAATCTGGAGAACTCATAGTTAATTGTAAGGGAGAGGAGTAATCTCCAGAAAACACCTTTCAGTTATAAAATACAAATTATATGCCCACACTTCAATCTTACTATTGCTTTAAGAGAGATATTGAAGAAATTATCTGTCCATGTACATGTTTTATTTATTATTATCATTTTAAATTGTTTTTTAAACACTCAATTAACGTTGTTAACATGTTGCAAAGGGTCATCTGTGAATTAGGACCATAAATCGAATGAAATTGTGCTTCTGCAAAGTGTGTGGTTGTAACTTAAAGCACTTTACTTCAATTACTTTATTTCTGGAACTTTCCACAGCCTGTATTTACAGTAAGTTGCTGATATATGGACAATTATATCACAGAAGTCAGGAAGTGTTCTAATCTTCAACTTAGTTTATATATTTGATAAAGCTTTAAGTGACTAGGTAGTGTCTCTAAGAGTCTAGATAAAGTGTAACAACTGGCAGCTTCAAAGTAAAGGGAACGTTTGCTGTGTTGTAAGGCATCCAGATCCTGTGAACAAAGCAATCATAGAGTTTTCTTTGGGTTACCTTAGTTAACTAAGTTCTGGGTAAATGATTAACTGTTAATCAACAGAACAGGAAGACAGAAAAAGGAAAAAGGAAGGACAGGCCACAAGAGAGAGGGAGACAGGAGGACAGAACTTAAAGTGTGCGCCAGGCGAGAGGTTCTTGTTCGAAATCACGCGAAAAGACCCAACTGGACCTACAGTAAGTATTTGAACCTTACTGTGAGACTTTGCTATTCTGTAGTTTTCTAGTGAACCTGAAGTTCCTGAGAGAAGAATCCCTCCATTAACACAGCCTCTCCTTCTGAGTGGGTGCATTTTAGAAGAGGGAGGTACACTAGATTTCTATTTGTTTTGTGGCACTTGGGTTTGCAGAGAGAGATTTAATTGTAGATTGTTTTCTATTTAGTTCAGAAGATATCTTATCTGTTATTCTGGCCTTTGCATGCACTAAGAGTTGAATACTTGGAAAGAGATTGGGATTTTTTGTGGGTGGTGAGGGCGTTAGGCCTCTTGGACACCTTGTTTGTACATACTGTTTATGTTAGTGTTGTGTGTAGTGTTTGTATTGTCACTGTAAATAAAAATTTGTTTAACCATATGTGCCTGATTTAGTACTCTTTTCACCAAAGCCAGAGGATAAAGATTTCACGTGCCTCTAATTATACCAAATCCTTACAAGTTGGGGTTAGGATCATCTATTTTATTTATTGATTTATCTGCTCGGTCATTTCCTGATTTTCTCTTATTTCATAACCTCACTTTTTTTAACAATGTATTTTCTATTCCTTTCATAGGCTTTTTGATTTTTTTATGAAGTCTTTTGCTCTTTTTTTCCTCTTTAGGAGTGGGTTGCTGTGGAGATGCTAGGGAGAGGGCCAGAGAATAGGAGGGCTGTTTTGTTCTGGTTTTTGATTCCTGTTTGTTTTCTTGTTGGCAAAAAAAAAAAGATTTTAATAAAAGAAGACCTTCTCTTTTGATGTATTAAAAAAAATCCATGTATAAAACATATATGTATAAATGCTCCCACTTTGATATGTGATCCTGCTTTGCATCTTGTTAGATAGACTCTGGCTCATCACAGCCTTCAAGGGCTAAAGTGATTACTGCCAATAAATGGATGGACATGTACTTCCTCACATGTTATGCAGATTGGTTTTGCTCAACTTCCCTAAAATGGATTATTGGTAATATTCACCATCTCTCCTTTCAATACAAAAACGAGGCAGCCGAGTTTAAACTGTCTAATCCCTAGAAGGGTTACTAGGGATTACTAGACAACGAAGAAACAGAAAATATAAATGTGCAATACCTGCAGAAATTTTTCAGGGAGGTTTTTCAGTCCCTTTGGCTGCAAAACAGCCAAATGCACAAAATTGCAACCCTGTTTGTCTCTTATCTTCACATTCGCTCCTAAATTAAAACAAAGAGAACATCTTTGACATGTGGAACCATTATCATTGTGGACATAAAAGACAATACACTAAACACATTTGCACTCAACACATATTTTAGTCCTGGAACAATGTGCACGCAGACCGACCAAGGCGAAATTAAATTAATAAGGCATTGCTATGTAAACACAAGCAAAGAAAACACCTTAGATTTGCAGAAAAGGCGTCTTCATTTGTTTGCGGAGTAATACTGTACCTTTATTTAGCAGAAGTTCCACAGTTCTCCAGGCTCCGCAACGCGTAGCCAGAAGTAGTGGAGTGTGGCCCTTGCAATCAATGCTTTCAATTTTTGCACCCTATATATACATGAAAAAAAACACAATCGAAAAGTCTATGTGGGCAGAGAAAATAATTAATATTTTATTAGTAATTAATGTTATTTTGGTTAATAATATACCCCTTCCAGCACTTTGTAGTCTTTAAAATGAAAGTTCATGAAGAAGTCAAACCCTAATCTCATCCACCCAATATTAATTAGTATAAATATCATGTTAATAGCTTATTCGCTAGTGCATTTCTTTTCACATTATGTGTTCTACCCCCTATTCACCCTTGCAGCAGCTCCCTGGCTTCTCCCTCATTAAAGGTGAAGGGGTTCCATCAGCCTCAGCCCTCTGCACAGGCAGTAAAGCTTACTAATCTGAATCAAGCCTCTTCTCCGTCTTAATCAGGTTTTGTCCAAACTACAACTACATGATTTTAAAATCATACAAGCAAAATTGTCAGTTAAGAAAAATTGGTGGTCCAAATTTTAGACACAAACAATGCTTCTAGAACTGCCAATGTTATTCATATACTGTACGTTAAACCTTTTGTGATAAATCTGCAAGAATCAGAGATATGGATCCTTCGAAATGCTTCAGTTAATATGCTGTCAGATTTAACTGCAATACTGTAATTAACTTGCATGTTGCTTAGCTTGTGTGGAAGTTGAATGGACACAAATATTTTCCCCTAATTTGGCGTACATTTTATGGAAATGGAACACAAAACCCTATCGAATAAATGTTTGCACTTGCCATTCTGTTTTAGTAAACAATGGAGTTTGTGTGCACAGTCAGCATCTGGCCTGTTTTCAGATGTATAAATACAGCCCAGCATGAAGGCTGTCATCTCAGTGATATACATTACACAAATTTTACTTTGAATTACTAGTGTGTTTACCTTTAGGAGGAGGTATTCTACCAGGTCGACGTGATCAAATATTGAAGCCCTGCATGCAATAGAAATATAATTATTCTATGAATTAACCAGCAATATTTTATACAAAATAAAAACTATGTAAAAAGGTGAAACTGCAAAATTACAGTACCGCCACATGACAGTTCAAATTATATTAATGATCATTAATATTAAGTCTTAATATTGAGTGTTATTAATTTAATTATGAACCACTCTCTGCTATGCTCTTATAACAGCAATAATAAATTATAATAATACAAGGAATTCATGTGTGTATAAAAGTCCTAGGATTTGGGGGAATGCTAAAGATCTTAAAATCACACTCTTGGGCTAAAATCAATTCAATCAACATCTTGTTTGATCTGGAGGTTTTGGTAAGTGCTTTCAGTCGTAAGTGCACAATTACATTTAATTCCAATTTGCTTTCCTGGTCCATTTTAAGTTCCCCTCTCTGTGTTGTCAGCAAACTAGACTTGAGGTCCACATCCCCACTGCTTCACAATTGAATCCCTTGTGGTGTTCGACACTGTTCAGCTCTGGCCCAGAGTAGTATTTGAATGCCACTCTCAACAAATCCCAGCTTCACGCAATGAAATTTCATGACCACAAACTTGAATGTAGGTGGAACAACACTTGCTTTCAAGCAATGCTTATAATTCTAAAGTACTTCACTGTTCGTCAGCAGGTTAATGTTTCTTTTGGAAGTTTATTGAAGTAAAGAAAAATCATCCTAGAACCCCTTTTTCATCTCTTTAGTGTCCAAAGGGAGCCTTATAAAGGGTTTTCAAGACTGTTTTCAGGTGCTCTATAGGCACAAATGTTTTTTTTTTTTCCATCGGGTTAGATTTTCCCAGCTCCAAATGGGAATTGAGTGGCCAAAGAGTCTGGCCGAACCAATTCTGCGTCATCCCCTTCCCCCAAGTGAGGCGCTCTGATGGGAAGAAGGGTAGATCAGTGACGTTTGAGGGGATTGCCCCCTGCCGATGTTTGATTGGGGTGAGACCGTTTGTGTGGAGGGTTCTTATTAGCAGCAGATAATGACAGACAGTGGAACCCAGATACAGAAGGTGGAAAATGTAATAAAGAAAAATAATTAAATGTACTGGCATCTCAACATCCACAATGAAGAGATGCAAATACCAAATGGCTTTACTGTAAGTTAGGTGTCACAGAATCTCACAAAGTCAGAAAATAAGAAGAACTGAGTTTATCCTATAATCCCGAAGCTTGAACTAAAAAAAAAGCAAACTGACTTTATGTCACGCTCGTAAACCCCTCCTCTTAAGGACGCTCCAGCCCTTCCTTGTTTTTTACTCATCTCCCGCACCTGCTTCCAGTTCCAGCCCCCCATGCTATAAAAGCCAGACGTTCCTGCCAATCTGGGCTCTGAATTGGAACACGGACACCTGGAGGCTCACCTGTTACCGAGTCGCCCTACGTCCGCAGCTCGGGTGGCATTCGCCTCCTAGGTGTCCTGAACCAGCCTCTGAACCAGTGTCTGGTCCCATGACCCCCCTTTTATTCCCCCGTCCCTCCGCCGGATCCTACTCCGGCTTTTAACTCTGTGTGTCTGTCAGGATGGATCACCCGGTCTTGGAGTTTTGCTACACCCATGGATTTGCCTCGGACTCCCTTGGACTGTTTGCCTCGGCCACACCTCCCCTGAACGCCAGCACACAATGGACACGCCCCCTGTTTTCCTTCCAGCCCCTAGCATGCCTTTTTCCCTGTGTTTTCCTCACTCCTCCCCGGATTGTGTTGTCTGCATAGGGTCCTGAAAGAACGCTTTGTGACGCTTTAGCTATGTTAAGCAATCACAATCCATAAAGTGCACAGGGAAGCTTCACAATCAAAACATTAGACAATAGAAAGGAAGAAAACAATATATGTAAAGTATAAATTAATAAATCAGATGGAATATATATGTTTTAAAGAAAGCTCACTTATGCAAGGGAGTCTGATGAGCTCCATCAATGATGTTTACTACCTCTTCCACACGGTCATGAGACGACAGCATTAGTTTGACAGCTTCAGTGGCACCTTGTGTACAAGCAAAGTGTAGAGCTGTGGATTTGTCACACTGTTGAAAAGGAATGAAAACAAGAATCCAGAGGTTTCATGCACAAGGCAAAGCCAAACAGATGCAACAGACATTCAATTTGAAGTAATTCAGACTAACTGCCCTGCTTCTCTAGAAAAGTAATTTGGAATGTTAATTTAATAAGAGCTTTTAGGACAACTGGCCTATTAGAACTGTAGTCTGTCTTCCATTCTGTGGAAGCAGGGTCTCAGGGCACAGATGTTTTTTTCACTCATCTCAATTTAGCTTTCAGTAAGTTTTCCTTCACATGCTGGTCCTCCTCGATGTGAGAGATGGAGGTGTTACTTCAGGAAAATAACATTTCACTGAGAATACTGTGTATTGGATTGCCCTCAGTTCAGATTAGCAACATTCACATACTTGTATAATTGTTCATGGTTTAAATGTGTACCTTATTAGGGACAAAATGTGATAAAGAAAAGGGCACTACTGGATAGTTTCTCTGAGGCGCGTACTGTTTTTTGTTACCTGTTGCAGGTCTATTTTTGCTCCGTTATCAATGCACAACTTAATCACTTCAATGTTTCCTCCATGAACAGCAAGATGAAGAGGGCTGCTCGAGGATTTATCCAGATAATTAATATGAGTGAAAACAGAGTGGCCCATTTCTTCTCCTTCATGAGGGGAAAAACAAAAACATTTTTTTTTCTTCCAGAAAAAAGCTGACATCTTTGTCACCTACAGAATGCACAGCTTTCAAAAGATCTGGAAGCAATATTGATTCGTACAGCATGTGTTTATAATACACAGTAGAATAATTTCTGCTGTATTGTACATGTCTGATCACACTCTGTGATATTAACACTAAGTGCTTCTCTTCTGTTGCTGCCTTTTTAAGATGTTGTAAGTTAAAACGTTTTAAATGCAAGATTACATGGCGTACTCCTAAGTACTGTATATTGAGAGCGGGTTGGAGGGTTTTTAACAAGTTTTAGTTTCTATCATTTTGGATGATTCAATTAAAGGATGTGGGACAAGTTTATAAACATCACAATGTTTTTTTCTTTCCGATTGAAGTATAGTCTCTGAAAAAAAGGGCTCACAATTAAAACCAAAGGAAGGCTGGATAAATATTTGTTCTAAACCAAAAGCCAGACTTTGTAGCTGTAGGCCCTCTTTGAGTGGAGTTTTGTACAGGAGTAATGTAAACCGAAAAGGAATAGTCCATGTGTTTGTATGATGTCAGACCTACCCTTTTTCAGAATGATTTCCATGGACTTCTTTGCACCTGCAAAAGCAGCTGCATGAACAGCAAAGTGCCCCAACTTGTTCTGTCGACACAGCTTGGCACCGTGCTTCAGCTAGGAAGGACAAAAGAAAATATCATATGTGCAATTAATAAAATTCAGTGGATGTCCTTTTTTTACTTGATCATCTCATTCTTCTGTTTGCCAATCCATTTATGCATACTAAATCTGAAAACAGTCACACGTGACACATCATTTTGTCCTTTTCTCTGATTGAGATTGTTCGTTTATGATCGGCTCTTATGTTGTGCCTGGCTAGCATGCATCTGACATTTCCCTTCAAATAAAATGCCACAACCTACTTATAAAACAGTGATATACAGAGCTCTTGTATATACTACAGACCTGCATAAAAAAGTGGCGGGGGTAGAAATGTACAACAGCACATGATATAGCAGAAAAGCACAAAGGCTATTGTTACCAGACATCTTAAGGCTACACTTGAGACAGGGAGTAAACATTACAGACTTCAAAGTTGTAAGAAGTGGAAAGTGCCAGGCCATAATGAAAATTTAAAGAATGCCATTCCATCTCACAGCATACAAAGAAAGGGTATCAGACGTAGGTGAAACCCTGCCATGTGTTTTCACAGACTCTGGAATGCAGCTTTGAAGGTTTTTGAACACGGGTCACAGGCCAAGAGGAAAACAAGGGAGCAGATCAGAATGTATAAAATGTATCAGCTCTGGACTGTGGACTATAGCATCCAGAAACACCATTTGGGACTAATCTCTGAAAATGACTAGAGAGTGTTGGACAGAGACAAGTCTTTGCTCACCCCTAAAATCAAAGGACAGGGAACAAATGGCTTAATGCAATAACATTAACACCAGTAAATCGTTGAAAGTGAACTGATGCTTGGATTTTCTTCGATTAAAAGTCAGGTTTTCCTTCTAAAACATTTCAGATTTTACTTCAAACCTTTGTCAGCTGGGGGAGTCTATGCCTGAAATGGGTACAGTCTCATTCGGTGTTTCAAATGGCTTCTTATGATTGGTCTGTTCTTCATATGGCAGGCAGACACCTGCTCTGTTGTTTGATTTTCCAGTTTTGTTGTTCGAAGTGGAAATGGCCTTTGGGGAAGAGTTTAAATCCCCAGGCTGCCTGATGATAATCACACAGCAAACACTTCCAAGTGTGAACTGGTGCATTTACAATGCCTTTCAGACTGCAGAAAGTTAGGTTACTGAACCAGGCTTACACTAAGCCACTGAGCCAAGTTACAGATGCATAGTTTTCCAGGTAATGAGGAACAGAAGAGAACATCTGAAATGTCTAAGAACTTCCAAAAGTAAGTCTTGAAAGCAAATATATATATACAGTATACCTGTCTTTGCCTATATGTACTGTAGCAACATTTCAGTCATACATCAAAATGAATGTTTTTGCAATTCCCTTACCAGAATACCAAGTGCTTCATGGTTGTCAATAGAACAGGCTAACATGGATGGTGTGTTTCCCAAGTCGCCTTCCAAGTTGGAATTGGTACTGCTGTGGCACAGCAACAGCTGTTGACATAGAAGACATGCTGTTTTCACCTCAGGTAGTTACAAACACTTCACAATTACCTCATACTGTAGTTTAAAACTGAAAAACTAGTAAAATTACAGTACATTATGTCCAGCTTCTAGCATTTACTCCACTGCCTATGTGAAGAAACATACTTCACCAAGTATGGTGTAAATCAGCATCACCAAATCCATATCTGATCAAATTACTATGTTAGTATATTCTTATTGGTGTCGGGTGCTGTTTCTGGACCTTTCTGGTATCGTTTTTTTTTACTCCATTGATATTTTGTATTTGCCGTGCATCATAGTTCAATAACTACGACACAGAATTCCGCAATGTGTTAGGGAACCGCATTGTTGTTTCATACTATTATGCAAAATCGTCTCAATGCAAAAATACTTCATGTGGCTTTCACAGGTACAGTAGCTATGCATGAAAAGCAGAGGTACATAGGCAAAGCAACATTAAGAAAAGGGGGAACAAGCCCTGTAATTCAGCTTGTGTAAAACTCTGCCATGAGGTAGTTTGTGCTAACAGGTTATACAAAGTAACAGATTTAATTTTCTTACATCAACCAGGTTATTGTGCCAAAGGTTAACAGCCAGATGAAGAGGAGACAGCAAGGAATTGTTTAAGATATTAGGGTCTGCTCCCAACTGTAGCAGCGCGTTACAGCTTTCCATCTGTTTTTTTTCCACAGCCCAGTGCAATGGAGTGTTGCCCAGGTCATCAACAGTATTTAGACCTCGGAAAGAGAAGATCTTATGTCAAAGGTCATGTGAAGTTGAGGTTAAACACTGTAATTAAACTCAAATGGTAAGTGTTGTTATAGCAAGTGTTTAAGCATATTCTTTAAGAAAATAATTTTCAAAAGGCTGATCTCATGAAAAGTGAAGTGAAATGTTACTGGATCTGTTTTTTTGTATGACAACTTTATGCTAATTTCATTTGATTCAATATCAAGTCAAATACCCTGTATAGTTATACTGTTTTACATGTTGCTGTTATGCAATTATTAATCAGTGATGATGTTTGGACCTGTGGACCTGTAGCCATGTGTTATCCTTGAAGACTGGAGAGACAAGACACTTTCTTTCTTTGGGCTGACTCTTTAACATAGATGCAGGAGCTTCCATTATCCTAGACATATCTACATCACGGACAAGATTAACAGGACATATATAGTACAGTATATAGACTCCCATATTTTACATTTCATCAACCATTTATTCCTCATATTCATTCATCCATTTTCTAACTGCTCTATCCAATTCGGGTTCGCAGGAGAGCAGTAGCCTATCCTGGCAAGCAATGGGTGCAAGGCAGGATACATCCTGGATGGGACACAAGTCCACAGTCGGGCAGACAGACACGAACGCAGGTGTACACACACTTGCACCAGGGCCAACTTTTCCAACAAGCCAATTATCCAACTAGTATGTTAGACTGTTAGAGGAAACTGGAGCACCTAGAGGAAACCCACAGGAATGGAGACCATGCAGAATATACAAACTCCATGCAGATAGCACCCCAGGAATTGAACCCAGGGCCCCAGCACTGTTATGTACTGTACCAATACTAAGCACTGTGCCACCATGCCAACCAACTTAGATACATTACTTTTTTAAATATTGAACATAAATTTCAAACACAGTTAAATAGTTACTTTATGTGACATACAACAGAATTATTGGTGTTTTTTATTGTATTGTAATTATATCAAAGGTGTGATTAAAACATTCTACTAGGGTTTATCTTAAAGTTGTACTGTACTGTTTACTACAATGATACCCTACTTAAGTCACATTTATAACATTAGGCTGAAGCTACTGTACTTGCAAGAATAAGCTATTGTGATTCTTTCAACAGACTGAACATACTGGTATTGGCCAATAGTCTCTTTCAGTCTCCTTCAATCCCTGAGTCTTTGTGTTGCTCTTCCATGACACATCTTGCACTTGATAATGGCACCTGTCCTCATGTCCCAGCATGCTCCAGCCCAGGGTACCTGCCAGGTGCACTGCTCCCTGCACACTTTCACATCCTAGTAAACCTTAGGGAAGGGGAAGCCAACTCCCAGCGCTAAGAGCTCTAGAAAGAATTTCAACGCAATGCACGACCTTCAGTATGTAGAGGCAGAGAAGTTGAAGGTTTCGGGGTTACTGAAGCATGCAGAAAGAAATTTTTTTCTTTCTTTCTGCTCTTTCTTATGTACAATACAGTACCTGAAATTAGCGCCACATTTTTGCAGCCCTTAAGTTACAAGATGTTTTGTGTCTTTCAGTGGAGCTACAGGAATTGAAAATCAGCTCACCTTCTGGCCCAGCCATGTTGACAATGAAGTGAATGATCCCATGATGTCCACCAGCAGCAGCAAAATGAAGAGGGGTTGCTCTGGCTTCATTGCTGGTGAGCAGACAATCTGGGTTCTTGTTTATAAGGTCCTCAAGGCCGGACTTATTACCTTCCAAAGCCAACTGATGTAATAGCGAGAGTTAAAAAGCTTTAGAACTAAAACATGCTTGACAATAACCCCCAAGAATATTAGTACACATCTGAATGGAAAAAATATTATTTCTGTTGTTTCTGCCATCTAGAAGTTTCTTCTTTTGGAATACTGTCTACAAATCTATAATGATGACTATGTAAAATGTGCCAAAAAAACACAATTATAATGCAATTTCTTCACACATTCTAAACAAAATAATTAAACATACAGTAAGGGAAAACCATGTACTGTAGTACTATAAATATACATGTACATAACATAGCAGCAAATCCTTGCAGATTCATAAGGATAGATATGCTCCTTGGCATAAAATCACTAGTGTCTTTTTAGTCAATAGAACTATATTGGCTCCGTTTCATTTAAAAACTACTGATGTCATTCAAGTAGGTTTACAGTGAAATGAAGAATCGGTGCCAAGTAAATCATTGTGGATTCAGGACTCATTCAGGAAAATCATGGGCAGAAATACAGTACATATTTTTATTAAATCAAATACAAATATCAGGAGAAACGTTCCATTGGAAACTCCAGCAATCACAGTGTTGGAGTTCAGGTATTGTACCATTGTTCCAGTGCTCACTGAACATTGCTACTTAGATGCATTGTTGATTTTTGTCTCCAGATTTACAGAAGGTTTCATTATAAGATTCGGTAGATCCAGTGTGATTACCACATACAGTATGAACGTAAAAAGAAATTATACTGAAAGTTTATTAACTCAGATTCAAAATTAATTTATGCATTTAAATTCTATGAATTGATTTGGAATTTGTCAACAATAAGCCACAAAGCTGAATTCAGAAAGACCCAGTTTAAAACTCCCAAAGGAAAATCACCAATGGCCATTTTTTTACTGGGTTACCAATGTTTCTGTGTGATTCCCTGGTTTATTTTTCCTTGTCCAAGAAAAAAACATAACATGGTTTTAGAGCAACTTCATATTCTTTTGGGGCTTGTTGTAGAGGTAAGACTGGCTATTGAATTGATAAGAAATCAAGAAAAATTCTCATTTTTTAGACTTTGTGGTTACTAATGCTCTTTTCACATTCCATTAAATTGAAATCACGTATTGATCAACTAGGATGTACCACTAGGACCATCATACCAGTGCAGGAGGAGTAAGGACAGCGCATACTGTCGTCTGAAATCTTCCCCCCTCTCGACTCTCACAGTGCCTACACCAGTCGCAAGAGTGAAGCAGCTCTCTCCAGCAGTGCATGGAGAGGACAGTGGCTTCTGCTAGACAAAACCCCTTCATGCTGAGCAAAAAACAAACTGAGCACCGAACCAGACACCTTCTGTGTCATCTATGCCAGCAACTTTACCTCTTGGGAGGCACCTTCTTCAAGTCTTTCTTACAGTAAATATACACTGTATTATTTTTAAACTTCACAAAGCAAAACTGTGCCTTTATGCAAACCAACCAATCTATTGGTATAACCTTTTAAATACATGTAAGTTTTGGAAATATAATTATGATTTAATAATAATAATTTCTTACACTTACTGTATATAGTCTAAAGACTCCACTCAAAGCACTTTACAGGTAATGGGGACTCCCCTCTACAACCGCCTACAGTATATGTGGCCCCCACCTGGATGATGTGACAGCAGCCATAGTGCACCAGTACCCTCACCCCACTCCAGCTATCATGAGGAGGAGAACAGAGCAATGAAGCTAATTCACAGATGGGAATTATTAGGTGGCCATGATTCCTAAAGGCCAGTAGGACACTGGGGTAACACCCCTACTCTTTTTGAGAAACGCCCTGGGATTTTTAATTACCACAGAGAGTCAGGATTTTGGTTTTACTTCTCATCCAAAGGACAGCACCTTTTTACAGTATAGTGTCCCCGTCACTATACTGGGGCATTAGGACCCACACAGACCGCAGGGTGAGCGCCCCCTGCTGGCCCCACTAACACCTCTTCCAGCAGCAGCCTTAGCTTTCCCAGGTGGTCTCCCATCCAGGTACTGGCCAGGCTCACATCTGCTGAGCTTCAGTGGGTTGTCAGTTTTGAGTTGCAGGGCGATATTATCACTGGATTTCTTGTTTTTTTCTGCTTCATACTTCATACAAAGCAGTTCTGGTATGCTAAAATGTCAAGGATAATTAGCTTGTGATCTTGTTTTTTTTATTTTCTTGTCCTAAAGACATTATACTGTAGAGTATAATTTTTCTCCGTATCGGAAAAAATCCAAGTTTACAACTGGTGGACATACCTGAAACACATCCATAGAGAGCTGGGATGGGTCATCATCGACAACACATTCATACAAACTGTCCTCCTTTTTCATTGCCTTGTGGAAGGTGATTAGCCTGTTTCTTGATCCTCTGTTTTGCAAAATGCCTAAAATAAGAGAAAGATATCCTCATGCTCATTTATTCACAATTGTTTTGATGAAGACAAGTTTGTCTTGCTTTAACTCAAAAAGAATCTTCTCATGCTAATTATATTTTGCCCAAATCATTTTCTTTAAGCTACACTCAAAAAAAGAATTTGAATTCCTTTTTATATTAGTAACCATCAATGCATAAGATCATATAGGAAACCTAGATGACTTTATTAACACTAAACACTGAAGAGATTAGTGTTTTTCTTTCACTTATGTTAAATTGATTAGGATTATGTTGAAAATGTGTTTGAGATCTGTTTTGTATCCCATTTTCACAGAACCAAGATTTTCAAAAATAAGTGGAAAACAGGAAGAAAAAACTTTCTGCTGGTTAATAGTTCTTTAGTCATTCCTGCTGTGATCTGATGTATTAATCTGTTCAGATTTCTTGTTTTTAGTGATGTATACTGTAGGTCAAATGAACTGTAGAAAATAATCTAACAAATTGTAGGATATTAGAGGTTAAAATGACCCCCATGAATTGATATAATTTACATTTTGTTCTCCAAATACACCAGAAGAAGTCTCCATAGCTGATCTGTTTTTCTTGTTTCTTTTTACTTTTCAATGTGATATTTATCTTACTTGTTCCTACTATATGTTTGTTTGTGTGTGTATACTGTATGTGAGGTACAGCCAGCTTAATGAAGATCATTTTTAGATAGTGTATACAAATGAGGTAATCTGTATAAATGAGTCTAATTCTAGAATTATTTTAA